TTACGAGCGCTACTGGTGCTTCGTCGGAAATGTTTGATCCATGGATCGAATCCCGCCTTGACCAAAACAAGCTTTCAGGGTGGCTGAACATTAATGGGACCTGTCGGGGAGGGGTCAACGTAAAAATCTGTAAATTAGAGACCTTTGTTTAAAGGTTGGACTTAGCAGACCTTCAAATGCGCTCGTGACTTGCTATGGAACAGAGCGCATGGCGCATCCGAAGAGGTGAAACTCGGGTTGGGGGAAGGCATGTGGCGCTGTTTTCGTCCGCGGCTCTACCTAACGGTGCCAAAAGGGACATGCGTGGACCAAAGAGGAGCGAAGGCAGTTCAGGGGGACCCACTTACACTGTGGCAAAAGTTTATATGTTTGGGAAAGCCCGTCGTCGCGCCGCCGCGTGCCCCCCCGAACCCGATTTCGCCCGATGTGCGTTCTTTTTTGTCCTTTTGTTTCTCTATCACTCTTAAACAGGCATATTTTAAAAAAATCGACTTTCCAGTGAAATGGCCAAGATTCGGGTCGTGCCCAGGACCACATGGGAACCAGTAATCAATCAATATCTATGCGACGCGCGTCATCAGTCGATTAACATTAAACTGTGGTGATCCCTGGGGGGTCAGTGCGTGCGGTCTATGTGGACGTTCGTGCGAGTGTTTGTGTGTTTGTGTGTGTGCAGAAATGCGTCCGTGCGAAAACCAACGTCGAGCTTCCCCCAGCACGTCATTCAGCCCCCCGTCCGTGGCCCGTCACGGGCGGGTTTCGACGACGGGTTTCGTGATCGATCCTTCTGAGCTATTTCGCCGAAGCGGCTATCAATCAATAATCGTCGGCCAACGCCTGCTTGAAATTCCCGTCTTCTTCGGAATTCACCTGCTAGGAGAAAAACGAGGGCGATCGAATACTTTGGTTGGGGACCATGACATCATCACATCGATACTGGTCCTGCCGCTTTTGTACTTCTTCCACTGGTGTCTGGAAACCCTCCGTAGAGATCCGAGGAACCTGCTTCGTTGACGTCGATTTGGTGCCCGGGCGTTATCTAATCGCTCGCCGGGTTTCGCCCTGTATCGATTCGTTTGTTTGTAAAAGTTTTCAGCGGGCCATCATTCTAATTTCGCTTTTCATTATTTTCCTCATCTGTTCCTCATATTTCTATTCTCGTTTTTTTTCTTCTTTTGAATGTTGCCGATCGTTGGTCCCCTGTGGACTTTCCGATTGTGGCAGCAGCCATATCGCAAAACATGACTGGAATGCTTTTCCCTAGTTTCATACATGTTATCGATGATAAATTTATAACTTGTCAGAATGATTACTGTGTTAAAAATCATTTCGTAACTATCCACATGAAAATGATTCATCATTGTCATCACCTCTGTGTCTGTTTCTCTTGACAAGCGCAGTTCTCGATCAGTTTTTCTCATCGCCGAATGGAATTCTTCTGTTTTCGTTTTTCATATCTGCGCACATTTGTCTCACAATAAAGCTGCTGCTCAACGCCGACAGATCGATTCTCGGGGCTTAGACTCGTAGTCGTAGACGTTCGTTTTCGTTTCAGGTTCTTAAACCGGGAAGTGTGCCGTATTACACGAGCACGTTGATGGGCAACTAGTACTCACACAGCTGTACAGGTAATCATCAATGTTACGTTTTATTGCGCAATAAGCTGATGTCGAAATCGCGCGATCGCTACTAGCGATTCCGCTAGCGTCCGCGGTCGCGTTGCGGTACCAGCTAATGAGTGATTCACTGGCCGCGACAGCGACCGCAGACGCTAGCGAATCGCGCGATTCGCAAAGTCTGACATCGGCCCAAGGTTGGTGTTAGAGTACGCAATCTCTCGCGCGATTCGCGCGAACACTGCGATGTAATCTCCACTCCTGCCGCCAGTTCTGCTTGATGGTGATGGTTGAATGACGTCTATTCCAGTCAGGGGGGCATTGCAGTGCCGGCAGTCTGCTCTAATGCCAGCTTGCTCAAGGAGTCCTTTGAAGTTACAAAGTGCTTTTTTCCTACTTTGTTTCTTCTGGTCTTTGTATAATGTATGTGCTTTGTAACATAAACTTCAATGAAAAGTTATTATTTAACCTACGCTGTGAGATTAGTGATGAGCTTGGTCTAAGCCTTGAAAGGTGGAGGAAATCCCTTTCCCGAAAAAGCGAAGATTGCCCACGAAGCCGGGGTTTCCCTCCTGAGGCTTACAAGGAGGTCGTTCAGGGTGTGCCAAGCTTTTTCAAAATGGTTTCTTGCATGACATTGGGGCACATATGGGGACCACAGAAGCATGGTTCATTTTTCCTGAACGGCTCTCTGAATACCAGAAAAGGGGTCCCTAGTTCGATTCCTCGTGGTGACAAATTTTTGCATTTCGAGTTGACGTTTCAAAAATCGCGCAAAATGGAGCTTAGCATGAGCAACGAATTCCATATTCATTTTTTGACCGTCAGTAATCCTTCAAAAAGACTGACTTAAAAATCGGTGTGAGAGGTGTGACACGGAGTAATCATTTTGTACTCCTACTGACTAGTATAGGGCGCCATTCGTTGCGGGACCCACTGCCTTAACCCGCGGGGATCCAATGTGATCGCGGTTGAATTCGAACATTCCAGCTTCTCACGCATGTCAAGTGACTGCCCTCACCCCCCACCCCCCTAGACTGGCGACACTGCCCCTGGCTCACGGATTCCCCGCTCCACATTGAAGGGTTCACTGTAGCAGGAGGCAGTGGGACCCGTAACGAATGGCGTCCTTTACTAGTCAGTAAGGAGTACAAAACGATGGCTCCACTAAGCCTTGGAAGGTGGAGGAAATCCCTCTTCCCGAAAAAAGCGAAGATTGCTCACGAACTCCGGGGTTTTCCCTCCTGAGGCTTACCAGGAAGGTCGTTCAGGGTGTGCCAAGCTTTTTCAAAATGGTTTCTTGCATGACATTGGGGCACATATGGGGACCACAGAAGCATGGTTCATTTTTCCTGAACGGCCCTCTGAATACCAGAAAAGGGGGTCCTAGTTCGATTCCTCGTGGTGACAAATTTTTGCATTTCGAGTTGACGTTCCAAAATTCGCGCAAAATGGAGTTAGCATGAATAATTAGTACCATATTCATGATTAGGACCGTCAGTAACCCCTTACAAAAAGACTTTGACTTAAAAATTGGTGAAGAGGTGTGACACCAAGCAGCCCCACTGTGGTGTCACACCTTTTTCACCAGTTTTTTAATCAAAGTCTTTTGTAAGGGTTACTGACGGTCCTAATCATGAATATGGTACTAATTATTCATGCTAACTCCATTTTGCGCGAATTTTGAACGTCAACTCGAAATGCAAAAATTTGTCACCACGAGGAATCGAACTAGGGACCCCTTTTCTGGTATTCAGAGGGCCGTTCAGGAAAAATGAACCATGGTTCTGTGGTTCCCGCATGTGCCCCTATATCATGCAAAAGACCGTTTTCAAAAAGCTTGGCACGCCCTGAAAGACCTTCCTGGTTAGTCCTAAACCTTTATACTAGGAGAATATGCTGTTCGTGATTTTAAACTAGTTGAGCACTTTAAACCACATGCCCCCCCCCAACAGGAATAGACCCGACGACTGTTCATTATTCTACTTGTTTCACATTCACTGTTTCAAATGTTCAAGTAAGGCACTTGATTCTTGCGAATCGCGCGACGGATCGCGGACTCTGTCACCAGTCTAGGAGTTTACGGCGCAATGTAGCTCCATGAAGGGGCAGCGCGTAACGTTGCGTCAGATTCTTAGAGGCGCTCAGTTTTCGGACTAAGCTTCAGACTAGAAGAGGAAATCCGAGGTGCGTAAGCAATTCTCGTTCTTTCCGTCCGGACATCCTTTCTCTCCATTAGGTTAGTCCTAGTGGCCTTCACGCAGTCTGCCCCTCCCCGCCCCCCGGGGGCACAGCGCCGAGTTCGGTCGATTACGATAGTAGAAGATTAGGAAATCACTTTTTTGTGATTATATATGTCCGTACTGTTTGATTCATGAAGACGCTAGTTACTAATCTCCTTCATCCCATTCAAAACCTATCTAATCTTTTCAGGCTGAATATCCTATAACCCCAATACCCCATCGCCTACTATCCTAATCCTCGAAGTCGTGAGCTAGGAGCACAACCAAACTGATGTTCTTCTCATGTAAGCGCAACTGTACTGACAGCATGTATGGGAGACCGTTAAGCTTTCCTTAGCTGAGTCTCATATTGTAACTGCTCAATATGTTCACCGTTCTTGCTTTATCATTAACATAATCGAAACGAAGAACGTACAAGTTAATCTGAACGAAGCATGCGCTCGCCACCATGACAGGCCGGGTACTGGTGTGAATCGGCGCAGTTTTTAGCCCGTAACTATACAGTGGGGCGCGTCTATAATGACTAGTCTATGCTGACTCTAGTCTATTGTTTCTTCAGGTCAGAAAATCGAAGTTGAAAACAACGCCTTCTTGAGTTTGAGGTTCTAAGAGGTTACTTCTTTCCCGAGTATAGAAGTTCAAGCATTTTTAAATATTGATTTGGATATTCTTAATGTGGCATAAGCCTTCTTGCACGCTTTTCGTTGCGAATTGTATGAACATACTTTTACAATGTGCAGTCGCATCTTCTGCTCGATAAAGGCGAGCTCTCATTTTTTAGGTATACTCAGATTCTCCAAAGTAGGTGTCAGACCTGGCTACTGCGAACGCGAGGTCTGATGCCTATACATAAGTTTTCATAGTATCGAAGAGACTTTCTTATTCCTATATTTTTTCTAACTATAAACCTCATTTATATCGGAAACAAAAAAAGCAAACGCTTCTTTGTGTTTGTCGGTCAACTGAAGTTCATTGATTCCTTGAAGAAAGGGAAAGCAGTGAGGAATCAAAGGAC